TGAGTGTTCATAATTAATTTGAAAATTATATGAAAAGCACAAACATTAATCTTGCAATATTCAACTATTTCTTTAATTAAATGCTAGTTTTTTTTTTTTGCTACGTTATCTTTTTAATTTCTTGATTATTCTCCTATTTAAGAATGAGGTCGAATCTTGACACTCACATCATCTATGGCTTGATTACCGTAGGCTTTACATGTCTTATGCACCCTTTGTAGTGCTTAACACAAATATCTCATGCATGTATAATATGAACATAATGGTCTCATTTATTTATATAACCATATCATTATATAAACAGGAAATAGATAAGAAGACTTGTCTTGACATACTGCGGAGTGTAATGACATGAGAAGGCTTGAAAGAAAGCACTATCACACACACCAAACATAAGAGCTACTCCTCCACAAGGCAACAAGCCAAGAAAGCTACTGATCTAAAAAAAAAAAGCTAAGATAAACTAATGGGTGAGTGACACCCTCTTTATGAATAAATGCGGCAAAGGGACAAGCTGAAGGGGATGAGCTTTTGCAATAATTCATAACTTGCAATACAAATGAATTTCATAAATAATAATCACATTTCCTTTCAAATGCTTAAAATGACGTTGTTCAATATCATATCACATGAATTTGGTTAAAATCCAAGTCAAATAAACATTTGAATTGAAAGGGAAGCTTAAAACTGAGTGAAAAGCCATTTGAAAGAGAAATCAAGAGGTTCTACACCTTAAGTATCGAAACCTACCTTAGGTATTGATACTTTCCATTAAAAATGCTTTATGGATCTCAAGTATCAGTACTTCTCCAAGAAGTATCTATATTTTTTACACAGAATGCTTCCTGAGATGTTCTATTTGTTAGATATCGATACTTCACTCATAAAAGCCCAGATTTTGGGCATTTTCTAGCATATTCAAGTTAGTATATTCCTTCTAACATTATACCTGCCATATTTCAAGTAAGGAAGGGTAAAGAGAAGTGGACAATGCCAAAGTATTTATAGTGGTTCGGTCCACTTGACCTACATCCACTACCTCGATCTCCCAATTAAGGATTTTCAACCTTACTTCACTAAATTGGTGGAATTAATAGCTTCCACCAAGCTTTTACGAGGTGAGCTTCTAACCTAATCTCTAATCCCTTACAACAAACTTTAGAGTGCTTCCCACACTCTAATTTTCCAAGAAAAAGAAAAACAACTAACTACCTTTACAAGTTTGGATCGATTATAGTCAACCTCAAACACTTTTTCTGGTTTTGGAATGAAGAACAAGTGTTTTTAGTAAAGAATATTTTGCTTTTTGCTCGAAGTGGCTCTTTTTATTCTTTAAATCTACTTTCTTTGACCGTTGGAGCTTCATTTTATACCTGAGGAGTCAATTTTTTTTGTTGGAGACAGTTTTTAATTGTTAGAAACTACTTTGAGGCACTTTTAGTCATTATTTTGTCCTCTAATGTTTAAATTCAAATAGGTATACAGATTTTGGCTAATCTATTATAGGCAACTCTAACCGATTATAACTTCTCTACCTTGCATTGTCCTGCTGATGTCTTCTCTGCTCAAATCGATTATAGGAAGCTTTAATTGATTAACAGTTCTCTATTTTTAGACTTCTCTTTTTCAGGAGACTTTCTTTAACTGGTTATGGCAAGCTCTAACTGATTACAAACATTTTGTTTTTACTTTTCCACACAGCAATCTTCCTCTAATTGGTCAACAATTCCTTTAATTGATTGAAGCTTTACTTCATTCAATCACAACCGATTAAAATCACCTTTAATTGACTATAAGATCTTCGAATTTTGAACTTCTCCATTTTGGCTCCTTTCAACGGTCAACTATATTTTCAAGCTTGTTTTTGGTGCTTGAAGATAGTAAGACCTTGTGCTCTAATCGATTTACCAGACCTCTTAACTGATTAGCGTATTTCAATTTTGGTTCAACTTATCATACAGCCATGCCTTAATTGATTAAGGTCCCTTAATAATCAATTCCTAAGGTTCTGTCTTTGTTCATACTTGCTTTTTCCCTCTTAATTGATTAAATCTTCATTAACTTTAGCAAGCTCTTTGACTTGCTTTTAATTAATAGATTTGTTAAGGGTATTAAATTAAATCTTGCACACTTAAATAGTGAAGTTAGACATTAATGAATGAAGAATGTTTTGTTATCATAAAAACCATATGGAGTCAATAAATGGTAGGCATTCATTCATCCACACTTGCATTATCATAAAGCTGGGTACTTATTCATTCACTTAGACATCTATCTAGTCATGCAACATTTCTACAATATCCATCTTATGTAGGATTCTTTTGAAGGAAAATATTTGATAGGCTTGTTTTTTTTTGTTCAAAACTAATACATAATATTCATATTTACATATCTTATGTACTTTTGAAAACCATCTTGAAATCATTCATCTTGAAACTAAATCACTTTCATTCATGGACATAGCATTGGATTTGTATAGAACAGAGAACTTAATAATCAGGATTAGTTTTATACATAGCAAAATTATTTAAAATGTCACATTTACCCACCTTGATCAAGTTGTCAACTTAGCAAGGGATCGAAACATCGAATCATTGTTTCGGCTAAATCGTTAGAGCTTTAACCAATCTAATAACAGTAACCACACAATTGTAAACATGACTTTAACCATAACTAAAATCAAGTCTAATCTAGTTTTTTCATCACTAAATCTATTGTTTGAATATAAACTAGTGATTTGTAAGCTTACACTACCATTTCCTTACCTAATAAGCTTTTGGAGAGAGAAATCATGTTAGGTTCAAAACCTTTGAGAGAAAAACATGAATTTGCTGGAAATGTATAAATTAGAGGTTTGAAACTAAGCTTGAGTGTTTAAAAGCTGAAAACTTGTAACGAGCTCTTATCCCTATCGTTACCGATGTCCGAGACTTACGAGTGAACTCGTCAAATCCCGAACAAGACTTAATTGAAACTTTAGATATTATGCCATCAATCCATGAAATTGCTTAAAGCATATACCTATTTGTAATAAGCATGGCACGTAAATCATAACAAACCGACTTATCCTTTATTCACCATAACCATAAGATTACATTAGAGTCTGTACTATC